CAGCTGCGGCCACGCCAGCCATACCGCCCAAGGTCTTGGTCTCGTGGACAGTGGCTGAGCTGGCCACTCCTGGTTGTTGCAAAGCCTGTCCACGGAAGCCTGCTGGCACGAACGCATCCGAACGCGCCACCAGAGCCATGGCGGCAGCCGCGAGGCAAAGCAACCACTGGGACATGACTCTACAGGGACTCGCAGCCTCCAAGGGACTCGTGTCTCTGGCACTGAGCCTTATGAAAAAGCTGCAGAAGAGTTATGTGCAAAAGAACAAGGGCTCCTGCCACACAAGGTGAGTGGTTGCTGGCAGTTTGTGTTGCCTGTTTTTTCAAGTTTCGAACCGACTGAAGAATCTTCAGCATATCAGTAAGGCAACACCCAAACCAGGTACAATATCAAGAATCAGACAATCAAAAAAAAAGAACATCCAAAACCCAGGGTTCTTTGCTGCTCCCACTGCTTCACGATGTCGCGTCCACGTTCCGTCTGGCGGCTTCTCGCCGCATTCGACCCCGCGAAGCCACGGTCCGGCTCACATCAGCGCAAGAGGCCCGTCCTGAGACGCGGTGCGGCCGGTGGCTGGACCGTCGGACTGGCGCCCCTGGAGGCCAAACCGTCGGACTCGACCCAACCGTCGCCTCGCCGGTCCGGTCGTGTGAAGGCGGCCAGTGGCAGTAAACTTCCCCTCCGGGTCTAGAATCCACGCCGAACTGGGCGGCACATGTGTTGAAGCAGGCTTCTCCCACATCACCATGTATTGGTCCACTCGCCGTGTATATATACGTAAGGTTCTCAAACCTCTGGTTTGTGAATTTCCCAAGTCGCATCATCATCATCATCCAGTCAGTTTGTTAGATGGCACAAATCACAGTGATTCAATTTATCTGATTTAGGTCACCCACGAACCTGACACAAGTACCGCCCTCCAGTGGTCTTTTTCAGGCCAATGCCTCACTCAGGAACTGCAAGAACATCCTTCTCTGATGGTTTGTGTGTTTGTGTGGATGAGGATGGGTGCATTTTGTGATGCATGTGTAAAAAGAAAATATATATATTATAATATACATATCTGTGTGTGTGTGTGTTTGTGTGTGTGCACGTAATCATACACTCATATTTATAAATATATATATATATACGCAGTACACAAATACGTGACACGTGTGTGTATGTGTGTGTGTGTGTGTGTGATATGTATCCCTTGCAGAACTTGGAGCCCTTATGTCCGAGTGCCCAAGCGTCATTTTGTTCATCTCACCAGCTGCTCTTTCATTGGAAAGTGCTGCCGGCTCCGCTGTTTCACGGAGCGAGTGGGTTGCTTTCGACGAAGGTCTGCTTCATGAGCAGTGTGGCGGATGGAGCTCAGCATTTCGCGGCATGCTAGCCACAAGAATATGCAGTGATTCATCTAGATAAGTTAAGGCAGACTTCTGTGCTGCTATGTGCTGCTTCCGCGCTTTGCTCCAAGGGTAATGTGCATACATCACTGGCAAAATCTGGGTGAACGACCTTTGTAAAGAAATGCTTTGAAGGAAAGGGAGGTTCTATAGGGCCACAAAAATCTATGTGAAGCCCCAACCAAACCCCTGGGGGCGTTATATAGGTTCGTTCATCTTGGTCAGCAAAACACCCCTGGAACCATCTGAAGCGCACCCTTCTTTGATCTTCCTTGTTGCTCGGCCTTGGCGCACCGCCCAAACCTAGGAACCCAGGAACCCACATAGCTCAACTCCGCCATGGCCGTCGTTCCCCATCGGAGCCCGGAGCCCCCCCCGCCACCTCCGTCGGAGTCCGCGCGGGCACGGGCGTCCCTGACACACCCAGCGCCCCGAGAGATGGTCGACTGCAAGGCGGCGGAGCAACAGATGTGACCAACTCCATCTGACCATCAAACACATGGTAGTGATGGTGTCTGATGACACATGCCCCATGCGACATCATGTGTTCATGGACAACTCATGAGAAAGTAGAGGCTTTTCTTGCCATGTGCCAGTTGTTCCGGCACACCCATGTTCAAACTACCGGCTCAAACCAGGCAAAAAACCGGGTTCTTCTCAGAGCATTCGGAAGGTGGCCAAATCAGAAGCGCTCCGGTCCACGCCTCGGTGTGTTCCCACCGGTGCTCCGGTCCATCATGGACTCCACACGTTCACGTGGAGAGACGAGTGACGTCCCCGGCGCTGGAAAGGTCGTGCTTGGGATTCAAAGCAACTTGTTCTTCAGAACTGTTCTTCTTCTTTGAATTCCAACCTGTTCCTCCTGTTGGTTGAAACCACTGAGGCCCTGAGGCTGTTTTGGTCCCCCCCGTTCGAATCTTTCGAGGCCAATTGGGATTCCAAAGCGGACACTTGTCAGACCTGTCATTGTCAAGCGCTTGCAAGTGGTCTATTGGATTTGTCCCATCTCTCTCTCTCTCTCTCTATACTCAGTTCACCTTCTAAACCCATGTGCCCCCTTCCCACCCCCTTCCCACCCCCACACCGCCATCCACGCGGCCCACCACAGCCCGCTTCGTCACCGGCCACGTGGGGAACTCGCGCGTGGGAGGCCGGGAGAGCTCCAGCGGCCGAAACCTCTCGCTGCGAAAAACCGTGTAACCAGCGGAAAGGCGGGGGCCGAAACCGGAGGGAAGCGGCGGTGGGTAGAAGTAGAAGGGGGCGGTGGGTGGAGGCAACGGCACCCAAAGGACCATCCAGAGGACCACCTCGAACTTCTGATTCATATGTTTTGATAGAAAGGTCTTGTTAAGGTTCCTGGAGCGGGAGATTGGCGGTTCGGCTGCGTGGCAGCAGGCAAGTAGCAGCAAAACCGACCGGCAATTGTATATATACGTGTATATACATGCATGACATGCATTCCAGAAATCCGAAGTCCCAAACTTACCAAAATGATCCCAAGATGAATGACCTTCGGAAGAAACCCTTCGAATCCTGCAGGAGAAGAGAAAAACCACCCAACACGCTGACTCTGGAGCTTGTGTCTCCGTGATCCCGCTATCCTCCACACCCATCCGCCTCATCCCATCCACGTGCCGCGCCTCGTGGCGCCGCGCACCGGGCCCGGCGCCGAGCGCGCCGCGGCGGCGCTCGCCGCCGTCTTGGCGCGCTGCCGGAGGTCCGCGAAGAGGCGCCGGCGCTCGCGGATCTCGGCGTCGATCCTGGGGTGAAAAAGCGACGTTCGATCACCGTGGCAGGGGTCAAGGACGTAAAGGTGGCCGTTCGTAGGTGGGACGGCACACAACTCGTCCCGGGTTGCAACAAAGAACGGTGCCGCTTCCATGATACGCTTGGGTTCTCACTGAAGCCGCATGACCATCTAACATATCCAGCACTCATAAGGGGGTCCATAGTTGAATTCGGAGATCGCGTTTAAACCAGCTAAACGCTGGAAGTCCGTGAGTCGGATGTCGGGTTTTACCGCTGAACATTGCTGGATCGCATGTGAGTCCATGGAGGCCATGGACTCGTCGTCCGTCGGCGCGGGATCGATCGTGTCTCCAAAACGGACCGGACTGGAATGAGGCCGGTGTGCTGAGTTTCCACATGGATGATGTACCTCTTTGGTCAATACCCTTTTTTTGTTGGTTCGGGGGCTCGGTATAAGTACCACAGGCGTCGAAGTCTCATCCAGCTGTCGGTTCTTCTAGGGATTCGAAACCGGACCATAGTCTGTCAGCCTTCTCTCTCTCTCTCTCTGCCCGAGCGGCTGCTTTCTGAGCGTCGCCGTCTCAGCAGCCACTCTCTGTGGGAGCTCCCTCGAGATCTTCCTGCCAGGAACTGGGAACCCTCCCGTCGAATTGACGGAACAATGCTACACCTGGACATATCTTTGCTGGAGCCCCGCACAGTGAACACCCTTGAAGCAAAGAAGTAAACAAAAAGTCACACGGAGAGCCAGCAGGTGCGACAGGCGCGGTCCGCGTAGCAAACAACCCAATCCGGTCGACGAAAAAACAAATAATAACAATAACAAAACTCCCCGTTGCACTCAAGAAAAGGCAGCCTCTGCAACAAATCTTGCCCAGCCGTCTGCAACTTGCCACGGGGGTGCATGAGGTCTGGCGCCTCAGTTGGCAAGGACGCCCATGGGTCCTCCTGGCCGGCTGATCATGACTTGTGCCCGAACCAACCAATTGTGATTAACATGAATTGCATGGATCAACCAAATAAATGTTGACCGACCCCGCAACATCGATAAACATTTTTGTGGAGCATACTGAAATCACAAACAGTCCAAATTGGGAGACCTGCCGTTCTCGTGTGTCCGAAATCACTTCCCTCCTCACCTTTTTTCGAGGTTTTTCAACATTCCGTGTCACTCTTTGTCTGGCGTTTGGGTGCGGCTCCTAAGATGACAACGGTTGAAGCATAGCCCGAAGAAAGGAGATCATGTTTCCCGTCCCTCTCTCTCTCTCTCTTTTTTGATGGTGACTGCGAAATCATTTCAAGCAATCTCGCATATTGCCGCTATTTCTCCTGTATCCCACATCTATTTGTGGGGTGTATGTTCAGTTGAGATTGGTATGTACATGGAAAAACCTCCCCAGGGCACCAGCTAGGCCATACCAATGATGTCTCATGGGCGTGGCAGGGGGTGACATCAAACTATATATATATATACCTACAAATTGACTACAAATATCTAGATAGGCCATGATAGGCCGATGGGCCAGAATATTCTGAGTGCGGAAGGCAAAACCATCAAACAAAGCGCCGTCTAAAACAGCCTCCCACAAAACAAATTCTACCCCCACTGGACCCAGCTACAACAACTGTCTTCGGTCAAAGGTCAACCTTTCTGGGAACTCCGAATCACTTCCCTGAGAGGCCTCGAATCACACCTTCCCTTCGTTTCTTGTCTATTTCGACCCCCAGGCACTTCCCCCAAAGCTTGGAAGCCGGACTCAAATCCCTCTGTCTCTCCCCCACTCTCTCTCTCTCTCTCTCTCTCCCTCTGCTTTGAAGAACTCCGCGAGTTAGGCCATCTCCAGAGGTCCACAAAGGTCCCGTCCCCCGGCACGGCACGGATTTCATGAAGAGCTGATGCGAGAGCTCTGGGACCTCGGAGCGCGGAGAACAGCGGAGCTCCGCACCCGGTGAAGGCACGGCGAAACAGCACGGCGAAACAGCGTGGCCGGTTTCAGCACGCCTCATAGCAGCACACCCCACCACTAAGGGGTGTCGATTGGTGGCTACTGGAAGTCCATTCATTAGCTCCCAAATTGTTTGGGAACACCACCCCTTGGGGTGTTTAGGTAGCTAGGGTTTTGACCCTTTCGAGCTGACAACCCCCGCGGTCGATGGGTAGGACTGATCTAAGGGAGGTTCACATATGTTGGGCGGAACTCACACGGATATCCACGGATAGTTTTATACTTTTGATATGACACATAATATAGTCCAAACTCTATGTACCTAGACACCCCGTTTGGGCTGGTGTTTAGACGTGGGCTGGATCATGGATACCCCGGTAGCCACCCATTTGCACGCCAAGAAGGGTCTCCTGGTTCTACCCGACTTTCCTATATGTTCCTTCCAACAGAGGTTAAGTGACCTTATAAGACCCTACCAGGGCACCGAACTGGGATAGCCTATAGGGTTCTTCAACCTCTGTTGGTCACCTTTCTTTGGACCAGCATGCCTTCCGCCCACATTGTCCGCCCACACCGAGCCTTCCCCGCTTTGAGCAGTTGGAGCCCTTCAGAGTCCAATTCTCGCAGCGCGGTCTGCATCTGGACTTCATTCTCCTTCCTCAGACGCCGCAGGAAGGAGCGGCAGCTTATGAGGTTGCAGCACTGGACATGCAGAGAAGCCAAGCCCCACAAGTGTTCCAGCAAAACTGACATTGACCATAGGGACTGGGTGGCCTGCGTGGCCGGCGTGGCCCTGATGCTGGAAAACCTTGTGCCCCCAAAGGGGCCTCCACCTGTTGTTTTCTGGGCAAAGAGGTAATCTCCACTCCCCCCATGCGTTTTCTGGACCAGACTGAACTGTTGACCCTTAACATTCACAACCGTCCAAATGGTCGGGATCAGCTTCTACAAGTCCAGTCACAGTCTTCCTGATATCATATACGGGCCGTCCACGGTGCGTCACCGCAGGTGCATCCGCGCGGGACCTGTGGTGGCCAAGCTGCTGGCAGATCCGGGTGAACTCGGCACACTGCTCCGGCACGGAGACCTGGGGGAGGGGCGGGGGGAGGACCATTGGAGCTCGTATTTTTCTATTTTTCTCGGTACGTTCTGTCTTTTTTCGATATGTTGTTTGGGGTCTATCTGCTATATTCTGCTATTATATAAGTGCACGGCAGAAGGAAGGACGGAAGGAAGGAAGCAAGGAAGGAAGTAAGGGAGGAAGGGGAGGGAGGAAGGAAAAGAAGCAAGGAAGCACGGAAGGCAGGAAGCATGGAAGGAGGAAAACGTCCGTGCTGCTGCAAGTGGCCAGGTTTAAGTTGTACCTGTGCTGATGGGCCTGTGCTGCTTACCTGACCAGTAGCCAGAACCAATCCAAGACCGAACCACACCCAAGCCCTGCCCACCCTGTCTAGCTTTCAACCAAGCCAAAGCCAAACCAATGCCATTTCAGACCCCGCTTATCCCCCAACCCCTCCAGCAACCTTCAACACACACCATATCAAAACCCGACCCGGAAAAAATCTCGAGGATTCACTCTCACTCATTCATTTGGAAGGGAAATTGAGCTCCAAAAGATTGTCCTCTTCGACGCTGGTAGGAGATCAAGAAGAGGACCGATTCGCCAATTCGCCTATCTCGGACTGGCTGACAATACTATGGCCGTCCGCAACATCAAGCCATTGAAAGCCCCCAACTTCTGTCTCAAAACTCAACTGACACGGGATCACACCTGCTCATGAACACAATCTGTTTACCACCCTTGCCGGCAACGAGGCGGACAGAACAACCCCGACTTGGAAAAGGCCTTGGACACCGACTGGAGTTGCTGATCAGCCACTCCCAGGCTCCTGTTAGACGGGCTTCTGGAAGTTGCTACTGCAACCCTGTCAAAGGTCCACTCCCCTCATGCCATCCCAGCGCTCTTCACCTGCCCAGCCACATCAACAGTCATGAGCCACTCCGCACTCCGCCAGGCCAAATCCGAGGAAAAGTGCTGGGGTTCAGTTGCTTTTGCAAGATTGGTTGCCTAAGACTTCGAGCCAGTGACTTCCATGGCCCCCAATACCCCTGGGCCAACATGGCCTGCCTCTTCAGATTTATTGGGCGATGGCTGTTTCGTCACGTCTGCGGTGACTGTGGCTTGAGCACATCAGAATGCTGCGGGGCAGGCCTTCGGATCGGACCACATGTCGATCCCTCCTCCCCCCCCAGCGAAGGAGGTGCTTTCCCGCCCAAGGACGGCAGTCGAGCCAGGTCGGACGACGGTGCACGGGGCACCGAGCTGGGGCACCGAACACCGAGAGCTCCTGGGACCGAGCGGACGCGCCACGGAACAACGCCAGGTGGAAGGGAACAAAGGAAAGGTGACGAAAGCTTCTGGGGCCAATGCCCAGAATCACCTCGAAGCGGTGTTCGGAATCTCGAGGAGAAAAACCACTCAAAAAAGGGAGGGAAACACGGAAATCGTCCCAAAGAAGAAAACAACGAAGCCGATGAAAATCATGATAGTCCGCCAAAAAACATCCAAAAGCTTCGTCACAGCACCGCACAGCAGGTTTCACCGCGGGAAGCCCCGCGCCTCACCACGGGGCCTCTGAAGGGGGTCCCGGCTCAGCAGCCTTTGCAGGATCAAGCCGAAGACACCGACATGGGGTTTGGCAAAAAAGTGCATTCCAAAGCTCCAAAGTGCGAAAAACAACGTAAAAGTACTTATACCAGCACCCTCCAACAGGTCTCCTCTGGAAGGTTGTTGGGCCTAACAGGTCTCAATTGGTGACCTGTGAAGTCGGGTGCTGGTATAAGTCTATATAACCTGTTTAAGGGTTGAGAAGCTCTTGAAGGCGGACCTGTGAGGAGCTGCTCTTCCCATACATCGCACCAGCCCAGCAAGTCCTGGTTGGTCTCTCACACTGGGCTCCTCGACCGAATCGCCCGTGCTTCGCCACCCATCGAATCGCCACCCGGGCCGCCCGGACGCCGCCAGCGTGCTCAGCAGGGCCGGGGAGTAGCACGTCTCCGCCCCCTCCGGCAGCACGTACCTCCACCCGCCGAGGCCCGAGGCCCCGGAGGAAGGCATCCGGACAAAAGAACGGATGGAGAGAGGATTAACATGCCACCGTAGCTAGATCAGCGACCAAAACATCAATATACAGATACATCATCGTCTTTCCCTTGGATTTGGCATCGTCCTAAACTGGATTTGGAGAAAAGAAACGCAAAGTGTTTGAAGTTTTTCTTTAGAAACTTGGTATGAGCTTGTTTTCTGGCACATTTGGCCGAGCAGCATGTGAGGCGATGCGAAAATACCGTAACAAAAATACATGCTCAATCTTGATACATGCTCAATCTTCAAACCTGACACTCCTAGGCTACCTCTACGCCCCCGTCGTCGCCCCGGGTGCCTCACGTGGATGTTGGCCAGTCGGCCCTCCAGAGGGAAGGCGTGCACCGCGAAGAGCATCTGGGCCCATGGAGGTCATGGAGGTCGCCACAGCAAGCGCAGAGCACAAGCAGAGCCGTGCGCGTCAAAGACCCGTACCCCCCCGTGATTCCCTGATCAATAGAAAACCTTTGAAAACAATAGCTTTCCAAGGACAAAGTGTCCAACTCCAAGCTTCTTTGGGTACAACAGTGGACCTCTTGTTAGTCAGAAGTCCACACTACCAGTCAGCGGTCTCCCGTGACGACAGCGGGCCCTTCCGTGGAGCGGAGTCCGCGCCGCGCCTGGTAGAGGCAGAGCCCCAACATGAAGAGATCCGCTGCGGCGGTCACGGGCAGCCGAACGAGGTCCGGGTCCTGGGCGGCGCTTTTTTTCCCCCCCAAGGCTTGGTGAAAAGCACTGAAACGGAAGCCACAAACCACTGAAAGACCATACACCTTTGGTGATGTCAGACTTCCAACTCCAAGGAACTCAAGGAATGCGGCATGTGTTTCATGGGTTTAAAGCTGCCAAGTTCCAGGCAAACGATTCCAAGGAGATCCTAACAGACCCGCCTAGCTCCTGCATGCAAATCCTTCTATAAACCACTGGCCCCCTCACATCGGTTGTCTTGGAAGAAGCTTCCAACAGTCGTCCTAACTGGTGCCTTGGTGGAATCGCGTGGAAGCAAAACAAGGCGGAAACTCGGCGACCACTGGGCTCTTGGCTACCCTTCACCAGGTGTTCTTTGAGCCGCTGACCGGCTCATGGACCCCCCCAACTCCGCTTTCAGGACCCCCGGCCGCCAGCTCCGGGGGCCGAAACATGGGAGTCGTACGGTTGGAGAAGAAGAGCTCCACCTGCAGTCAGGTAGAAAACCAATAGCTCATCAAAACATATACCTGGACCTTCTTAAGGGGTGCCCTGGACCTGGAGGTCCCTTAATGGTGGGTGTAGGGGCTTCCATTGCTAACCCCGACATGAAGGTGCTGGTATAGCTGTAAAGAAAAGCATCCAAAAACTTGAATCTATGCATGATCCCTGCAAGTCCAGGATTAAAAAATATTGTCTTCAGGTGACCCGAAAAGGAATGGCCCTTCTATCTTTACTTCACTGCAGTCGGTCAACATATTGCCTTTGGACTTCTACAATATGTGTTGTGTCCTCTTTTTCTGGAAAACTGGCTTCCATGCCGTGCTTTCTACGGCATGGAATTTTCACTGGAAAACCAATCGATTTTTGGCACCAAACGGCGGCCAGCCGGGCGCCTGGATCCTGCCTGTGCAAGGACAGGCCGACTCATGCTGCGTGCTGAGAAAGAAGCAGAAGAAGAAGAAGTCCAAGAGGATGCCAATTCCCAGGAGCAGGTGTGGCGAGCTTGAAGATTCCATGCAAAGTTTTGCTGAGTCTAGCTAGGCTGACAGGAGACTGCATTTGGCTGTGGGTCAGAACCTGGAGCCGTTGATCCTGTTGATCCCTGCTATTGTTGACCCGTCGTCGATGGTGTGCATCTTCACGGTGGCACCACAGCCACCTCCAACGAATAACACTAGTACACCCTGGACCCTGAAAACCGGTTGGTAGAGGAAAACACTCTTCCAGGGGGCCATTGGACCCGGGTCTATGTTAGTTTTCGGGAGTGTAGGACCTTTGAGGCGCTCCGAGCCCGCGGGAGACCACGCATCGACCCACCGGACCTCGCGCGCCGCGCGCCGGGAGGCGTCGGGGCCGAAGTCGGGCCACCTCGGCGGCACCCGGGAGCCCCGCGAAGGCGCCGGGGGTGGAACGAGTCCGGTGGCAGCCACGTGGCTGCAAATCCGGAAAAATGGGATAGAGCCAGGGCCCAGTGGATGATGAGTGTTCACTTGCAGCCAATTGAACACAAAAGAAAGTTATGTAACCTTTTGACGGACTGTTGCTGGTAATGGGACGCACCGTAGAGAAACCGCGTTGCCGCATGCTGACCATGCCCCCCCAGTCCATATCCGAGATAAAGTGGCGGCCAAGAACCCCATCTTGGACGTGGCAAAGTAAGTCCCCCAAAAAGTTCCCAACTTCTTCCATGAGAGGTTGAGAGACCATTTTTAGGACGCTGTTGTGGTACATATGGGATGGGCGACAAAGGGCTGTTCAACCTCTCTAGGTTGGACCGAGTTGAACGATGTTTGCCATGAAGTCATGGAACACGACCGAATGTTAGCCGCCCCCGTCTCAGCACCCCGGCTGCCGCTCACTGGCTGAGCCGAAGTCACAGAGCCGAACATGGCCCTCGTTGAAGAGGATGTTCTGCAAGCGGATATCGACGTCTACGGATCTATGAAGGTCACCCACTGTGGGTTCAAATGGATTTTAAAAGAACGGTTATAAATGTATATTGTTATGACATGTTCTGTATAAATCTACATGCATGTTTGTAAAGTTAATCTTATTCTTATGTATAGAGAGAGAGATATATATAGATATGTGTGTGTAACTCTATGCCTGTATATATACACTTATATACACATATAGATTCAAGAGTAAGAGGAAGAGGGAATTGTGGCTCCGCACAAGTGGCCGCTGAGATCTATTTTTCGAGTGATTTAGTGATAGTGAAAGTTCATGAAAGTTCCAGTTCCAGTGGTGAAGCTTGGTGGAGAACGGAACAGCCTCCATCCAAAAATGGTTTGGAAGAAAGACAGTGTTCCAAGAGGCCATTCTATCCACGTCCATAATTGTGAGGAACACACAAATTGACTCCCAGCAAGGAGGGTATTCCTGACTAGAGCGCACACTCACAAGGACTCCCTATCTTCGTGGTGCTCATCCACGTGGATGTTGAGAGGCAACAAAACAGCCCCGCGGCAGCAGTGGTTCACCCGTTCCACTCTCGCATTCCCCGGGTGGTCCGGTCGTCCCAGCGCCGGGCACCTCTGGCTTCAAGTCGTAGTGAACCTGAAGCGTCCGCGCCCGTCCGCTGTCCGACCCGTCCGTGGGCGACGTCACCGGTTACAACGGAGAAGAGACTCGTTGGCCACACGCGGGTGCGTTCTGCTCAGGCTGGTGCCATCTTTCCCCGTCATCTGCGGGTTGGGACTATGACTGCAGGTTAAGGCTACCCAACCCCCGGTCCCCTCTCTGCTCACATGCCCAAACCCCCATTTCAACTGAGCAGCGATGCCCAGGCTGTGAAGAAAGGCCAACCCCAGCGCTGCTTCGCGCATCACGGGCACCACTTCGGCCTCCGTCACTACAACATCCAAACCCCCCTGTGGACGATCCGCTCCTACGCAGTATATCTTCCATATCTGTTTCATTTCTCCTTGGCCCTGGGGGAGTGGTGCGTTTCTGATGGTCAAAATGACAAGGTCTCTGGTCGAAAATCGATACCTGGAGGACCTAGAGGTTCGATCAACTCACTCACAAGCGGATGGGAGTAAAAGGAGATGGTATATCTTTGCCGCCCACGCAGTGACCGGGTCATCTCCGGGAGTGATGATCAGATAGATGTGGTCCCTACCAGCCACCCCCTTGGCCCATTCGCTCCGATCAGTCACTGTATGGAGTGTTCGGCCCCATTCAAGAAGAAGTCTTCCCGCACCCCATCGTGGACCCGATCCTCGTGCGTTCCTCTTTGTGTCCAATCCTCCGCTCCGCCAGCGAGCTGCTCAGACCCGCCGTGTCTGGGGCGAACAAGCCCGTGGCCTGCAGCAGGAACGCCACGCAGGCCCGGAATCCTGCCTCATTGAGCTGCGCGCTCGGCAACGTCCCGCAGCGATCCACTTGGCCACGCGTGTGCGCCGAGAGGGACGAGGACGAGGACTTGGAGCGCACCGCGGGTCGGCTCAAGGAGGCACGGAACTTGAAGAGTGGATGGCGCTCATCGACCTGGGTCCGGGACAAAAACTCCTCCACTCGCGCCATGCGTGTGGGAAAAAGCGATCTCTTTCTCAACCCGACCAGAGTTTTGATTTTTTTTGCTTGACTGACTCAGCTTCCCCCCCGCAATCCTCCTCCAAAGCCTCTTCCTCAACCCTTCCATCCCCTTCCCCGCCCCTACCTGCTGCACGCGAGCGCAGAAGGCCTCCACGGACACCTCGCGCAGCGGATGCCCCGCGGCACGGAGCCATTCCACGACCCGTGGCATCGCCAGGACCGCTTCGGGTGCCGCGCAAAGGTGCAGCACGGCGCACTCATCGGGCCAACGATCCAGCAGCTCCTGGGAGAGGGAACGGTGCATGCCAGGGGCCAGGGGCCTCTACCGGCCATGTGACAGGCTCACACCTGCAAGAAGCTCTTGGAACATGTTTGTGCTTCAGATTGCTTCCAGAGAGGTGAATCTCTTTAGAGAAGGTCATGAAAAACTTAAAACTGGCCAGTTCTGAGTTCCGAGGCTCAGCCATCGCTGAGGCGACATGATGGATGGGGACCAGATTGAAGCCAGGAGGTAGGGGGCTCTCAGCAGCAAGAGCCACTTCACCCAGCTGCAGCAAGCCCAGAATTAGGAGACTCAAGGCATCCTAGCAGCTTAGCAGCACAAGCTCGTTGGTTGCTGCATCCCATGTCATGTTACCCATGTGTGTATGTGTGTGTTAAAACAAAAAGTTGGAAAATCAAAACCCCCTGCCCTGATTGAACAGGATGATGGAATTGTCCCAAGTCCAAACAGCTCGCAAGATGCAAAAAGAATCTGCATGCGAAAGTTCCATTCTCGGCTTTATCGATCTTTGTGGATCTGTGGCGCACTGTCGCCTTCTGATGCCAGCATCCTGCGATTGACCTGCGATTGATCTGCAAGTTACGGCAGTCTTGTCATGTGTGCGTCCTCGGCTACATCTCCATCCCTCACCCATACCCACACCATGCCATACCGACTCCATGTCCCACCTTGGGATTGCTGGCGCCCGTCTCTGGATGGCCACAGACCGTCCCAGGCCTCACCACCTTGGCTTGCAGCTTCGGCCACATGCGCGTGGCCTCCCAGACCAGCTGCTCCGCCACCCACTTCGACTGAGCATAGCCCGAGCGACCCAGCAGCTCCACAGCGTCGCCCGTGGAGGATTCGTCTGCGGGGCGCAGCGGTTCCTCCGGGTGGCTTTCAGGAAGAAAGCCCAGGGTGGAGACGTGCAGCAGCTTGGCATCCATCTGCAGTGCCAAGGAGATCGCATGCTGAGTTCCTGCAGAGTTCGCAGGGTCATGCAAGGAGAGGGCCGGAGTGGAGGAGCGCACGACTTCTCGACTTCTATTCTATACACTCCCTCAAAAACTCATGGAAGTGGATAGGCTTGGCCCCGAAAAGGCCCCTTTTCCTCTACACGTCAAAGGTCAAAAGACCTGAAAGAACAAAGGCCCACACAGGAGCCATAGGCTCCACTAGAATTGAGTGGACTTCGACACCCTTGTGTCATGGAACTCCCCAAACCTATCCCTCAACGCATCAAGGACCAAAAATCCCTTGCATGTTCACTCTCTCCATCTCCATCATTCTCCCTCCCTCCCCAACCCGTCCCCTTCACCCCTTCCTTTCACGCCCACCCCTTCACCCGAACTCCACGTCCGCGCCTCTCACATTGGCGGCCATCAAGGCCTCATAGGGATGCACACCCGAGACCCACGCGGCACAGTGCACGATCGCCTCCAGGCGAGAGCCGCGCAGCGCCTCGTGCAGCGCCCCGTGACCGAGGCCCAGCCGTGGGTCTTCGACGCCGCGCGAGGGCAGCACGCGCAGGTTCGGGGGCAGCGAGGGGCGGTGCCACAAGCGGTAGAACCTCGAGGCGGGGGCTGGCGGAGCCAAGCACTTGGGCCATAGCAGTCCCCCAAACATGAAGGCGCGCAAAGGCTACAAAAAGCACCTGACCAAGACCCGTGTGGCACTAATACCACTTGCAAAGCCTCTGCGTCACAATGCCAAGCCGCTTCAGGCACTGCAGCAGTCGTTCTTCTTCATCGCCACCCCGCACGAGGCACAGCACCGTTCTGCCGTGGCGCCGGCACAGCTCGAAGGCCACGAAGGCTCCGAGGAAGCCCGTGGCGCCCGTCACCAGCACGGCGCGGGGACGGCGCGAGGACGTGGCCGTGGGCCTCGCCGCAGTAGGCGTGGCGTTGGGGAGTGGTGGAGTGTTCATTCACCACTCCTCCTCCCATAGACAGCCAAAATCAAAATTATCCAGTGACGACGGGGTGTTCCAGGTCGATGGGAGGCCCCCAGGCCTCCGTACTGACCACTAGCCTTGAGACTAGACACTCTAGACTCTAAAGTGAGTGGATCATAGGGTGGAGGCGGTTGCTTCTGAGGGGTCTGGTGAAACCCCACGGGCTGTTCCCAAGTGTTCCTCCAAAAATATCCACCATTCCCCTTCCACTGCGCCTTCTCCCCCCCAAAAAAAGGGAACCTCTCAAACATCCATTCCCTCCCCTGGTCAGCGCGCCTCCCGCACCGTGTCTCCTGCGTCTCGTACGCCCTCTCCTCGCGCAGGGCCTCCAGGGCCTCTCGCACGTCCGCGGCCCAGCGCCCCACGCCGCGGCCCCCGCTGCGGCGCGCGCAGACCTCGCGGAGCGCTGCGGGCGCCAGCACCACGCGCTCCAAGTCCCCCAGTGTCTCCTCGGCTGGGACGGAGGAGCCAGCCAGGAGGGTGTGGGTTTGGAGTTCTTGTCCTGCAAGAGACATCGGCCTTTCAAATAGTTGGAAGGAGAGTGTGGGGGGCTTGGCTTGATGCTGGAGAAGGAGAAGTACATGTCTTCAGTGCCACTTCCAAACAGCAGGGAAACTGACAGCAAACTGTGAGAACCTTCCAGGGACACCAAGCCTTGCTCTGATGTTCTTGAGGGCCTTTCTCTGAGCAAACCTTGCTCCGATGTCCCTGAAGGCCGACACTCACTCCACCGGGAAAAGCGAAGGAGGAGCACCACCGATCCTTTCCGCCCGCGTGCCATGAAGGCTCGATGGAGAAGAGCGCCTGTGGAGACAGGTCCACCTTGAAGTGTCGAAAGATGCTGGCACACAAGCGCGCAACGCCTGACGAGCGAAAAAGGGTCGAAGACTAAGGACTTCCCCCAACAGCTGCACAGAAATCAAAGAGCCAACATGATGGAAGTTCCAGCAGTTCCATGTCGGCGTGCCGGGCTTGGAGGAAGTCGGGGTGCCCCTGTCACATCCACTCACTGAGCGACTCAAAACCACCCTGTTGTAACTCCTGGGCCTGCGAAGGTGAATTCCCACACCAGTCCGGTCGTCCGCAAGCCCGAAGCGGGTGGTACCGGATGGACGGTTGTCATTCAAGGGCAACAGTGATCAGCAAAAAGAGAGTCACTTTTGAAATCTCTGAACCTCCCCCCCCACACTCCTCCCCCCTTCTCAGACGTCCGCCCCTCCGACCCGCCTAAGGAGTCCAAGCCCAGCGAGCCAATCAGCTCGCTCGGCGCCCAAGCGCGGTTCGGCCGGAGCTCGGCCAAGAGCGAGCGCAGGCCTGCCCGGGCGGTGTGGGAGGTCGGTGGGAGGTCGTGGCACGGTGGGGAGAGAGAGGGAGGGAGAAACTGGATACTGACGTGAGCATCGTGAGTTTTTGTGGGCTTGGTACTGGCATCATGATCTCTTCCTCTTCCCCTTTCCCTTCCTCTTCTTCTTCTTCTTCTTCCTCTTCTTCTGCGCGTCCGCGTCTTCGTCTTCTTCAAGTTCGGTGAATGCGTTGGTCCTTCTTGCGCACATGATCTGATGCTACAAGTACTGGTCGCTGGCCCACCCCGCACCACCACACCTGCACACACCAGCGGGGCTCCTTCCTTCGCTCTGGCCACCTCGTGGCCCCCTTCCACCACCTCCTCGCGTCCGGCATAGCGCCGCCGCAGCTGCACGCGGCTCAGCTTTCCAGAGGCTGTCCACAGATCAGGCTGCTGAGCAAAAGGAATCGGCTCCAGGAGGATCTCTCCTGGCGCCACCGTCGCCCAGCCTCCCAGTCGAACGCCCAGCCTCCGCCTAAACCCCCCCGCAGCTGAAGCTGGGGCGGATCGTTGTCTGGGGAAAACGTGACCGACGCCCTTTTTGCTGGAAGGGCCGGCTACGTGCTGGCGACGGCCAACGGAATTCTGCGGGAGGTCACAGGTTGCTTTGACTGTGCACCAGTTCTCTTCATACAAAGCGAGTTTCAGGTGTGCATTCTCGCTGAGCCTCGCCAAGTACAAAGAGCTTGTCCTTCAGTTCCTTAGCCCCCGAGTGACTGTCGCAATAAATGACGGCCGGCCTGAGCTGCGATGTGCAATGCCCTTGCCCCGCTTGCCGCACTCTGTTCAGATCTAGGCGCAAGCAACAACTGCACGACTTCGACACGGCCTTTCAGAGCTGCAAGACGCAACGCCGATCGGCCGTTGTCTGTCGTTGTCACATTTTTGTCAGCTCCAGCCTCCAACAAGAAGCGCACAATCTCCAACTCGCCCTCCTGAGATGCAAAGTGCAATGCCGTTTCCCCCATCTCTGTTTTCGCATTTTTGTCAGCTCCAGCGTC